GTCACTGATCCGTTAAGCTGTGAGGTTTCTGTCAAAACTGGGACTAACAGAATGCAGCAGATTAACCATTGTCAAAACTGGGAGAAGCAGCTTAATCCGCTTGGGTATTGGTAGTGATCGGCGTGATTGTCAAATGTGATTGTGATTGTTTATGAAGATAACTGGCGGGAGAACGTGTAGCGGTGTAAGATAGTTACACTGAAGTATTGGGAGAAGGATGGGAGTAGTAGCTTTACCAATTACATACAAAGTATATATACCCACATATGCATCACATTTTCACCGTCCCATGGTCCCTAGTATGGTGATCTCCCTTCAGTTGTTGGCGATCTCTAGCCACTTTTTTATATTGTATTGTCCAATTGGTGCTATTTGTTCTACGCTAGTTTTACTTCAAATTGTGATATTCTAGTTGTTTTACTGTCCTTCGTCGGCAGGTTTTTATAATATCTAAATATATTCTATTTCCCAAATGTTCTCGTCACGATATGGCTGCAATATTGCCGATAATAACTCACTCACTCACTCATTTTCACCGTCGCCGAAATACCTTAGTTGTGCGTGCGACGTTAAATAATAATAATAACTAACTAACATTTTCATATCACATTTCGTCATGGCTGAGAAAGGTACAATTTTAGATGGTAGGAGACCAGATGCAGGTTTGTTGCTCGATGGATATAATTATCTGAGACGAACTGCCAACAAGAATGGTACCATTCCATGGAGATGTCAGTGCCTGAAACAAAGTGTCCAGCCTCAGTCACTACAACAGGAGATGGGACTGTTGTCAGAAGAGAGGACATACAGCATACACATCCACCTGACCAAAGTTCGACTGGTTCCTATATCCTTGCCAGTAATATGAAAAAACGGGCAAGAGAAGAGCTGACAAGTGTGCCAAAGATTTACGAGGAAGAAAGGAGGAAGATTTTGGATGGGTATGGAGAAGCAACACCTTAAGAGATTGCAGCCCGACTTCAGATGTATGAGATTATCAAGTCCAGTCTATACAGACAAAGAGCTAAGAGGGTCCCCCGTCCTCCAAAAGACGCCCAAGACCTACAGCTTGATGGAGAATGGACTACAACAGACCAAAGAGAAGACTTTCTACTGGTAGATGACAGCAGCGGTAGCAGGATCATTGTTTTTGGAACTCTCTCTAGTTTATCCAGATTGTGAGAAAGTGATACTGTTTCAATGGATGGCACTTTCAAGATTTGTCCCAAACTATTTTATCAAGTATACATCATCCACTATCACGATAAGGTATATGATACTTTGCCTGAGCTGTTCTGTCTCCTTCCGGATAACACCAGTGCCACATACCGTCGCCTTTTGACCCTATTAAAGACACGAGCAGCCAAACCCCATCTGACATTTGAACCTGCTACACTCATCATGGACTTCGAGTGAGTGAGTGAGTTAATATTTAACGTCACATCGGCAATATTTCAGCCATATCGTGACGAGAACATTTGATATTGAAATGAAATATATCTATATTATAAAAAACCTGCCGACGGAGGACAGTAAAAAGACTAGAGAATCACAGATATAAATATAAAACTAGCGAGCAAAGTTACGAGCGTTGTGGAAGCCTGAAACGATATCTTATTTGTGTTAAGATCGCTTCACGGAAGTTAAAGAATCAAAACCACTTACAAGTTGTAGTAAAATATGTATATGATTGATGGCCATAAAGATTTTCCATGACACAACTTGTAACATAACGTTTGCTTTTTCGGAAGCGAGGTTGTAGTCGAAGTGAGTGACTGAGTGAGTTATTATTTAACGTCACATCGGCAATATTTCAGCTATATCGTGACGAAAACATATGTGACAGTGAGTGAGTTAAGATTTAAAGTCACATCGGCAATATGGTCAACAATATCGTGACTAAAACTAGGTCTAAATTTATAATACATACATATAATATATAAAACCCTGTCAACGAAGGACAGTAAAACCACTAGATTATCACAGATTGAGTTAAAACTAGCTAGCATATATCTTTAAAAGTAGAAAATTATTTCTGGACAATACAATGTAAAATTGGGCTATTGATCGCCAACAACTGAAGGTAGATCAGCATACTAGGGACCATGGGGACTGACAGTGCCTTTGCTACCTGCATGGACCCTAGTTGGATTTACACCCTTTCAGCCGCTGGCGATTGCAGGACAAGTTGAGCCGAAATTTAAAAGAACAAATATACTACTTTTAAAAATCGGGTAAGCAAACATTTAACTTTGAAAGTTTTGGGACTTACGTACCCTAATCATGGACTTCGAAATAGGGGTTAATTAACATGTATGAGCTGAGGACTGTCAAAATTGGGACAACGGTAAGCTTGCTGTCAAAATTGGGACAACTGGCTAGATCAATTACAGAAGTTTGAAATTTCACTGTCAAAATTGGGACTGTCAAAATCGGGACTAAACCAGTTTTACACCGCTTTTAGCAATATTCCAGCAATATCACGATGGGGAACACCAGAAATGGCTTCACATATTGTACCCATGTGGGGAATCGAACCCGGTCTTCTGTGTGACGAACGAACGCTATAACCACTAGGCCAATCCACCCATCCACCCAATAGCACAGGTACTGTTAGTCCCCATGGTCCATAGTATGGTGCTTTACCTTTAGGCACTGGCAATCTATTATCCATGTTTATATCACCTTGTTCATTTACAATATTTTCTTTTAACTGATATCAACTAGTATTAAATTGCATCTCTGATATTCTAGTTACCTCTCTGTCGATCGATGACAGGCTAGTTATTCATATATTGAGTATTCATATTCAATTTCTCGTCACGACATGGCTGATATATTGCCCTTGTGACGTAATATGTTAGCTCACTCAAGCACTAACCCCCAACATGTATTGTTTCAAAATATAGAAAGAAAGACTCGAGAGAATGAAATGTGTTACTCTCAGTAGTGGACCTATGGTAGTATTTAGCGGATCAAACCCTCGGCAATAACAATTGACCTTACGTCGTATAACATGTATATCAAACACTTGACTTTGACACTCTTTCTCGATCGTTCAATGTATTAGGGGGATAAAGTGTTATAAAAGTATTGTATATTTGTTATTTTGAGTAATGGTTAAACCTGAGTACAATCGCCATTAGCTGAGGGGAGTAGATGTAAATCCAGCGAGTGTCCATTCAGGTAACAAAAGCACTGTAAGTCCCCAAGGTCTCTAGTATGGTGATCTACCTTCACTTGTTCGTGATCTATACTAAGTCAAAATAGAAAAACTTCACAATCATATATTAAATAATGTGAAATAGAGGTTATGGTTTATTTGTTAGGGTCGATAGGATGAATTGAGAATAATGAGAATGCTATAAATCGGTTCCATGTGGTTACAGTATATATCAATTAAAGACGTAAACAAAGTGTCGAGTCACAAGAAATTAAATCTGATGTTTCAAACGTTCAGTATCGTGTATTACCGCCCCGTGCGTTCACAACTGCCAAGGAACGCACCCTCATGGTCTATCTGATGCGTGTGCACAAATTATTGGTGAGTCGACGCCATTGTTCCTGCAAAGCAGCACCACAATCCTGTAAATTTCGTTGATTCCTGAGAGTTCGCAGGCGTCTACCAAGAGCATCCCAGATGCGATCGATTGGATTGAGATCAGGTGACCATGACGACTTGTCAAGAGCGTTAATTTCTGCGTTCTGCAGGTAAGTCAAGGTGGCTGTATGGGGTCTGACATTGTCATATTGAAAGTACAGACCTGGACTATGTGCTGCCAAGAATGGAATAAGTTCAGGGGCTAGTACCCCTGCAGCATTAAGGCTCCCACGGATAACCAGAAATCGGGAATGAGCAATCCCACAGACAGCACCCCAAACCATGACACTTCCGCCCCAAAATCCGTCATCTTTCTGTACACAACACTGAACATAAAAACAGTCCGACGGCTGCACTCCATTGCTCTTGCAACGTCACTTACTGACGTTCCCGCTTCCAGTGTGCCAACGGCTGTTTCACGCTGCACATTTGACAAGCGGGCCATACGACTTGGCTGTTCTGAATTGTGCTTTAAAGTGTTTTCTCTCTTTGTACAGTTGATGGAAACGTGCGATCGAATACAGGTGCAATGATGAGATCACGTGACCAATGGCACGTGAAAAACACGTTTTAGCAAAATTGTGGGGTGCAGGATGTTTGGATTGACTTAAATATGCTGTGGTGACTTTTTTCTTGAGTTGATACTTATCATACCCGAAAAGTGTCCACTATAACAATTCACATTTGTATTTAAAAATATGAATTGTGAAGTTTTCATTTTGATCCGGTTTCATATTGTATTGTACTTTATACTATTCTAATTATAATGTTATATGCTTGCTAGTTTTAATTCTGTCTTTGATTTTAGTTGATTTACTGCCCTTTGCTGAAATATTTTATAATGAAACTTTATTTCTTACTATCTGAAATATTGCCGATGTGACGAAAAATTGTCGCCCTAAAACCAGTGTCTAATATGTCACAAAAAAACTATTTTCGAGAAATTCGATCTTGAAGTTTAGGACAGCAATATCTTCTAAACTATTCAATCGAATTCTTTCAAATTTTGCACATCCATATGCCAAGTCAAATAGAAGTCTCCAAGTGGAGATAGAACACTTGACCGACGAAAATCGTGCTCTTTCTTAAAACCAAAGTGTTCTAAGTTTCAGAAACACAGCCTTATTATGATTATATGGATATTTGATTGTTATCTTTTTTTACCAGGCTTAATTTTGTCGTTTAAACCGGTTTAGGTTCATACGGACTATAGTTAATGAAATAAAGCAGAAATAAGAACAGAGGTAAAATGTTCCATTTCCATGATGCTAATCACTTCAAAATTTGTAAATCTCAATGTCACGTGATCAATTGTGCTTGCTCATTGATCACTTGACAACATAGAACACTCGAAAACTAACAACATGTGATTTTTCATAGAGATAGAACAAAGTTTGTGTTGAAAAACCACTTTCAAGGCTAGATAGCACTGTAGAAAGTTGCTAGAGAAACAGATTATGCACTAAAACCTACCCTGAGCATATTAACTCTAATCTTGTCAAAAGTTGACTTAGAATACTCTGGTTTTCAGTCAACGAAATCTTAACTCCCTAATTCAGTCGAATCTGTGAAGTGCACGTAACATTATCAATCGATTGTTTACAGCTAACGTCAAGACACTCTGGGTCGGAGGCTCGAGCTCGGACTTCTTTAAGAGAAAATGGAAGTGGGTTGATGGGACTCCCATCGTCAATGACTACTGGAGGAAAGAAGGGATAGATTCGTGGTCTGTAAATAACTGCCTGAGTTATGCCTGGTCACGAAACGGATACAAGTGGGATGATGTCGCGTGCCTTAGTTCGAAGGGATTCTTTTGTGAAGCATCTGTTGAAGGCCAAGATTAAAAACATTTCTTAGTTTGGTATCATGTTCTCTGATACTCTTGTGTATTGTGTTCTACAGAATAGTTAAAACTTGGGAATTATATTAGAAATAAAAATACGCATGATCAGATATTGTAAAATATTCGCAAAGGAAGAATTATGATTTGACTTAAGACCTATGATATGAGGTTTTGTTTATGTCTGTACTCTTTAATGTTGCACTATTCCAGCTGTAAAGTGGTGCAGCTAATTGTCAAACACTTTGAGTTCAAGGCATGAAACTTGGTACAATAAAAGCTTTATCCCCGGCGACTAAATTTGGCAAGAGGCAAAAACAAAATGGACGCTATTTTAAGCCTGAAATTGTACTTGCTTCCTGGTAGCATTCATAGAGAGTGCTACTAAGCATTTACGAGAGATGTTGGAATAATCGTGCGCTTTATATTGGCGTTAAACCAATGAAACGTAAGTCATTAATGAATCATTGAAGATCATTGTTTCAACACTCCGGATTTGGATATGACGGGATGTTGTGAGGATAGATGCCAAGAAACGTCTGACCAACAAATATTCCTCTGCCAGACATATATGTGACGACACCAATACCACTGTATGAACACACCATGAGAGTTACTTACCAGGCTGGTTACACAGTGGGTCAGGGCCTGAAAAGAGGCCCAACTCTCCCTTATTCGAGTTTGTGGAGGAAAGTGGCGAAAGTTGCAACTGCTCTTTAATACTGAATATACAAAACGATATGATATGTTTCAACATTGTGGTAGTCTCTGATACATGACAATCTGGCACTATTTAAAACAGGAAGAATGGTAGGTTCGGATACTTTTCGTAAGGTAATAGGAAAAGGACATTGCTTAATTTTACTTTTTCCAATTTCCGGTGTAATGCAAATGTAGACAATGTATGTAGATTATGTAGTGATGGCTATAGTCTTTCAGGTCATATCCGCCATATTGAATTAAGAAGACTTTCTTTGTTCAGATATTCATAGGTGTATCCTCGCTGTTGTATAACTATTATGACAAAATTAATATTGTAACATGTGTTATATTTGGGATTACACTTTCTTAGTAAAGTACAAATTCTAGTACTTTTTGAGTTGAGCCCAATCCGGGATTGGAACTCACACCCTCAGAGTCAGGCACCCAATCGCCAGCACACAAAGTCAGCCGCCTAACCCACTCAACTATCGCGACTTCCACAAAAATGGAAGTCGGACAACTGGTAGTCTAGACTGCGCGTTTGTGTACCCCTCTGATAAGTGTTAATTGGCACGGCTCCCACGGCCGAAAGCTATGATTACACAATGCCATTTAGAAAGTGGTCAAATGTAACATGTGTTATATTTGGGATTGGGCGGCTGACTTGGTGTGCTGGCGATTGGGTGCCTGACTCTGAGGGTGTGAGTTCGAATCCCGGATGGGGCTCAACTCAAAAAGTACTAGAATTTGTACTTTACTAAGAAAGTGTAATCCCAAATATAACACATGTTACATTTGACCACTTTCTAAATGGCATAGTGTAATCAAAATTAATATTGTTGATAAAGGAATGAAAGTCAATCTGAACAAAACCAAGGTCAACTGCAAGTTTATACACTATAATAATTCAGTATAGTGTCATTTCGTGAATTCTGTAATACGTGTACTTTAGTTTGGATATGCATTTGTATGAAGGTGAAGATTATATTTACATGTACAGCAAACCATTTTGTTTTATGTACTAGTTGTCTGCGTAAAATCTATATGTACATAAATACTATCTCTACTCAATGGTTGGATTTCAATCGCTTTGTTTTACGTATCGAAAAACACTAAAATGAGGACAAATAAACTCCCCAAAGTGTCTGTCTACTCCTATTTGTCTTATGTGAATATTTCATACATCGATCGTTACCAGTATGTATGTTTACAATACACAAACTGTTACATAATAGCTTGAGTTGATAAAGCCGACACCCAGCATATCGACTGGTCAACGATATAGCCAATAATCAATCTCTATCCAAGCTGTTGAGTGACCAAACGTGCTCTTCAGAAATTTCGCCCACGCCCCATCACCTGTCCTTTCCTCTGTGACGATATCTCATGATGCGATTGGTCACAGAGAACATATGACCAGCCACTATATTGAACATTTGAGATACCGAACGTTCTATTCGGGAAATTTGACGACGCCCTATCACGTGACTATTTTTTTACTTCTATGCAAGGAATATGTAGTATACATATTTTATATGTATCGTTGTATGGTCACGTATGTTTTCTGCATCAAATCTAGATGAAACAAAGTGCCAAGCTATAAATGTGCTCTATGTTAGTCACAGACTAACATAATAGTACTTTCATTAAAATAATTCGTATACACTAGAAATGTATCGGCCAAAACGCTATTTTCGTCGAAGATGATAAAACATGTAAGTAAATTCTTCTTTACAGTATGTCATTGTCATAGATGTTTTGTAAAATTAAACCTTCACACATATTATGAGAGGGAGAATTTGTTTATGTGTGTTTTTCCGTCTCATACATACAAAGAATACATGCAAATGGTGATAAAAAATGTAAATGTACAAGCCGCCATATGTCTACAAGAGAGGCTTGCAATAAAATTACATAAAACTTTGCAATACACGATATGTATTCACACCTGCTTTCTTCCAACATATATCTTTACGACACAATTAAACAATCAGGACTTGTTTGTACGACGAGACAGTTTCCTGTCATCCCCGAAACCTGCCAGGGAAATCAGGTGTGATTAGCACTAATTAGTCTCGGCACAGCGAGTGGGCAATCAGCAAGGGGTTCCAGGTGTTGAGTAGTGAGGTGTCTCTCGGGTTTAATGAGTTAAATGGTGAACAAATTAAACAGAAGTTGTGAATATGTACAGATATCTTGGGATTGTGTTCACTCCTAAACTGTCATGGACTAAAGCCGAATCCTGTTTGGCAGCTCAAGTCAAGTAAAGCTATATTCCCCATCTATAATTACCAAAAACATTTTGGATGTATAAATCACAAGGACATTTTTTAGATTTTTGACTCCATGATTACACCTATTCTGTGTTATGGATCAGAGATTTGGGGAACCACTTATTGCAGACATATTGAAACTGTACATTTTCAGTTCTGTAAGACTTTTCTCAAAGTCAGCAAGTATATCAACAATAACATGGTGCTTGGAGAGTGTGGCAGACTCTCACTGCAATACCACCGGTTGAGTCCCATTTCGAATACATCCCATTTCGCCTACAGTAAACATGTACGCGAATAGGGAATAGGAAATGCACCCCTATTGGGGGAATGGACTTGACTTAGTGGAATTAAGGAATGTCAGTTTCACAATGTATGAGTAAAAAGATAAGTATATCATGTTGTTTTTAAATGAAGTCAACTTATAACCAGTGTTTATATAAATTGACTTAAGCTATGAAGATCAAAAGTAGCAGTGACATACTTACAACAGTTTGTGATTATAAACAAATATTAATCCTTTTGTTGCACATGAGTAAAAGGGATTGTGTACATAGTTTTAATTACTTTGTTTAAAAATGAGATAAGATGATGTCATACTGATGTAATAATAATGTCTGTTTATATTGCGCTGGGTTCCATCCACTGAGGTGCATGTTCAAGGCGCTACAATAGTCACAGATGAGAAGTTCACGGGAGGTGATAGTTCGTGAGGATAGGACTTTCTAAAGAGAAAGGTTTTTAGGTTGGTTTTGAATGTCTCAAGGGTGGGGGATTCTTTAATGTTCTGAGGTAGTGGGTTCCATAACTGAGGTGCTGCTACTTGAAACGATCTGTTGCCGTAGGATTTTAGTCTTGAGTTTGGTACTGCAAGTAGGCATTGGTTTTCAGACCCTAGACATCGTGAAGGCTGGTATGGTGAGATCAGTTCTGATAGATAACTCGGTGCTGTACCATTCAAACAGTGGTAGGCAAAACACAAGATCTTGAAGTGGATCCGGGCTTCTATTGGTAGCCAGTGTAGGGACATCAATACCGGTGTTATGTGGCATCTTTTTTGTGCACGACTCACAATACGATCTGTCCTATTTTGAACCTTCTGGAGTTTGTTCAGCAGATCCTGACTCAAACCATACAACAGACTGTTGCTTTAGTCAATGCGGGACATCACAAGTTGTTGGACTAGTGGTTTTGTTACGTCTTTGGTAATAAGATGGCGGATATTACCAATACTTCTTAGATGGAAGTAGCAGGTCTGGCATACATGATTAACTTGGGCTTCCATTGACAAGGGAGAATCAAAGATGACACCCAGGTTCTTTGCTTTGTCGGCGAATGGTATGAATGAGTCTCCCACAGCCACTGACGTGATATTCAACTGTTGGATGCGCTGTCTGGGTCCAACGAGTAAGGCCGCAGTATAAAATGGGCCTATGTATAAAATGGGGAAGTCAAAAGGCCAGAAAGTCATCGAAACTGGCTAATCTTCAGCAAGCAGAGTTTGTCACGTCACCGAGGGGAGGAAAACAAGTGTTACAAGCAGGTCACATATACCGCCTGGATGTGGAGCGTCAGCTAGCTACACACTGGAAGTGTGTGATCCAGGAATGTAAAGGAAGATGCAGCACCATAATGGTCTGAAAAAAACTTGTTGGAAAGCACCATCCGAACATTTATGAATTCATAACAGCTATCAAGAACATTGAATCCACCAACAAGATGCAAC